CAAAGATATATTACAATCCATTTGCTGCTGCAGCATCAGCAGCATAACTAGAGCAATCTACTACCGCCTATCATTCTATTCTATTTTTAAAAAATCAGGGCTTTATAATACAAACTTTGTGAGGCACTTATTCAGTAGATGTGCAATCATTCTAAGAAGTTTAGTTTGCAGTGCATCTACAGTGATCGCATTAGAAATTTGGTCAGCCTATATATGCTTATAAGATGAAAAAATGTTTTATCTTCGGTAAGGATAATTACAGCTTCTAGCTTGCCCATTATCGACAATCTTTAAGTAAGATGTCACATGTTACCAGAAGCAAGCTCCTTATCTTAGTTTTGAAGTACATTTTATTAAGTATGAAGAGGTGAGCGGAAGGGATTTGTAAGTTGGTCTCATCGGAAGCTGTTGGGGGATTGCCTTGGAGCTGTGACTGTAGGTTTTTGCGAATAGATCCTCGGCTCATAGCCCTGCGACCCCTACGTATCCTTGCTGAGCCTTCATCTGTCACGTAACGGACATTGTCAGGGCAGGATACCATGCTTCACGATAATTCATCAAATACAAAAACAAGAAAGGTCTTGTGCCTGTCTTCGTGCTTGGTGAATTATCGTAAAGCTTGGTGTCCTGCTCTTAGGATGTTCGCTGCATGACGTACGAAAGCTCAGCAAGGATTCGTCGGGGTCGTAGGGCGATGTGCTGAGGATATATTTGCGAAAACCAACAGTCACAGCTGTAAGGCAACCTCCTGCAGCTTACGGTGAGGCCAACTCACGACTCCCTTCCACTCATCTCTTCAAGCGAAATGAAGAGTATTCCAATATCATTATATTAAGAGCTTCGACAATCAGTTTTTATACATGTCCTTATTTTAATATTAATAATGTGGATTTTAATTTTAATATTTGTCTGTCAGCGCCTGGTATATTCTTATTTATTGTTAGCGATGATTGCTGCACTCAAAAAATTATCCATAACTTGTCAAATGCAGGATTCCTTGTTCATTCAACCATCTTAAATTTGTTTAATCTATGTAGCTGCACTTTAGTGCATCTCTACCAAAATTATTGTCGTTATTTTTGTTTTGCCACATACGAGTAAGCCTGCCAACCTCACTGACTTCTCTTCTTCGCCCATTAGCTTGGAGCAGCTTGATAATCCCTCGTCAGCTGTGCTAACTGCGACCCCGTTGGAAACTAAAACTCC